AGAGAGAACGGAGACTAGGAGCACCGTGGATGTGGACTCTTGTCCTTGGCGACTGGATATGATTCAGTGAGGGAAAGAGACCCTGATTCCAAGGTTTCCAGCCTCCCTGCCAAGCAAAGAGTGGTATCAGTAGCCAAAATAGGAAACACAAAAGCAGCAGCCTGTTTGGGAAGAGAAAGACTTCCATTTGTGCTCTGCCCCAGGAACAGACACACAGAAACGTCTAGGAGACAACTGGAAATACAGCCTCAAGCCCCAGTGAGGGAGGGAGAGTAGCCCAGGATGAGGGCACAGCGTAAGCAGAGGGATGGGGGTGAGAAATCCCAGGGCATGTGCAGACACCCACAGTGAGAACAAAGGTCTTTCCTTGCCCCTGAACTCAGTCCTTCCCACCCTCCCCACAGCCACCTCCTTCCGCCTGCTGCATCTCCACCCGGAGGGCCGCCAAATGCAGCCAGCACCGCACTCCGGCCAACCAAACCCAGAGCCATCCAAACAACTGCTCCCTCTTAATGCAAGTGTTGCCATCTTGCAGTAGCTACTTCCTATAATTCATCATAACTCTATGCAGCACTGGATGAGCCCTCGTTCACAAGGACCTTGTACATGGATGAATGTACCTGTGGTCTGAAAGGGGCCACTGGTTTTCCCAGCATCAGGGAAGCTTTCTATGTCACCTGTGTGACCCTGAGCCAGTTATTTACCCTCTCTGAACCTCAGTATTTCCAACCACCAGGGAAAAAATGTAATACCTGCTTCATCTATTTAAAAGGGTAGTTGTGAAAATCAAAGGAAAATATCGAATGTGAAACAGTTACATAATGTCTAAGGCAATATAGGAACAGTGACAGCTGGGGTGGGAGTGGGAGTGATAGCAGTTATTGTCACAATATGCCCTTTAGGGACCAGTAATAAAGCTAATAAGGCTACATAAGAAAAACTCAGATAGACAACCTCATCCAGAGAGAGAGATTTAATCAAATGCTTCTTATGAAGTCAATTCTAAGATTGCTACAAATAAACCATATAATCGTTGTCCTCTGGGAGCTGGGGTGGCCAAGTATGTAGACAGAGAGAGATTAACACACAGCACAGAATAAAGTGCGCCCCGTGTGGATGGTACAGATCCGAAGTGCATAGACACTCAAAGGGAGCAGACAAGGAATGCTTCCTGGAAGAAGCGGACTTGGAAGGGAGCCCATGATGTGGTCAGGTAGAGAGGAAGGAGGTGTACGCCAACCTGGCTGCGTTTCAGGGAAAGAATCCTGTAAGGGGAGCCCTGACTTGGAAAATTTGACCCGTCACCTCCCACATAGCCAGCCTGCTCCTGAGCTGGAAGGCCCCACCCCGCCAAGGAGAGAAGGAGCACAGGACAGTGTCCTAAGGCAGTGCTGAGGGCTGGATTCCCTTTCAACCACTGCTGCTCACCCAGCATCTGCAGCTGAGCCACGGTCTCAGGAAGCGGCGGCATCAGGTGCGGGGTCAAGGCCACCACTCAGCCAGCAGGGAGACTGGCCGGGCCCACGCAGCGTCCGGGCTCCTCGTGTAAGAGTGACTGCGAGCCTCACCCGCGTGGACACTTTCTTGGCTCACAGAATTGTTCTGGAACAGAAGCTATCCATTTGGAGCTGTCATCCCCGGCCTTCTGCAGTGTCAGGGCCTGGCAGCATCTCGGGGCCCTGGGTCAGCCGAGAGGCCCGCAGCAGCGAGGGGAGCAGAGGTGACCCCAGCAGGGTGTGGGGGGCTAGGAGGTGGCCCCCTTCTCCTGGAGCTGCCCAGGGGGCCGAGGAGCCACAGGGTTCAGGAGTGACTCCTTTCAGCAGCAGCCAGCTGTCCGTCCTTCCCCAACACACACACGCACACACACTCACACACACACACACACACTCTCACACACACACACACACACACTCTCACACCCTGTTATTCTAGTTTCTGATGACAGGACTTAAAACTCTCTCCTCTTTTTGCTCATAACTTTTTTCCGGTTATAAATAACTTTTACTGCAAATGCAGTACTTCACTGAGTGCAAAGACTGTCTTCTTAGTGGAGAGTCAGAAGGACCTAAAAGTGGAGGGAGGAGTCTGACCTGCTTTGCCAGTTAGAGTTAAACTTCTCTGATAAAAATATCAGTAGGTTCATTCCTCTCCCTTTGTCTCAAAAAAAAAAAAATCAATCTAGGAAGAATTTGAAACTAAACTTCTCTTCAAAGGAGATTAAGAATAAGTATTTTTAAAAACACAATAGTGGTAGATTTCTTTCTAGCAAGGAGGTGCCACTTTGTACAAAGCAAAGTTTTGCCAGGAAGAGGGGAACATGTGAGCGCTGTGTATGTTTCCAGGAGTGGCCATGTCTGAACATTTGTGTCCCCCAAATTCCTATGTTGAAACCTAACCTCCAAGATGATGGCGTCAGGAAGTGGGGCGCTGGGAGGTGCTTAAGTCCTGACGGCGGAGCCCTGTGAATGGGATTAGTGCCTTATAAAGGAGACCCCAGAGAGCTCCCTCAGCCCTTCCGCCACGTGAGGACAGAACAAGAAGTCTGTGACTGGGAGGAGAGTCCTCACCAGAACCCAACCATGCCGGCACCCTGATCCCGGACTTCCGGCCTCCAGAGCTGTGAGAAATAAATCTCGTTGTTTATAAGCCACCCCACCCATGCCATTTTTTTACAGCAGCCCAAACGGACTAAGACAGGAGTCTTCCCATCTGGGTACAGAATAATTTTCCTCAGACCTTTTCTCACGTAAATTCAGTGAAGTGCTTCCCCAAAAAAATCATAATAAATCTAAAGTGCAAAAATTATGACTGACTTGTAGGGTCTCGAAGAGGTGATCTTGGCCATCTCCTTATCTTACACAGAAACTCTGCCCACCAACAACAGAAAATCTACCCTGATGTTAAAGCTCTCTGGGAAGGGGGCTGCTGTGGCCTCTCTCCGGGGCCCCCTCATCTTTGTGTTCTGTGTGCATCCCTCCTGAGGTATCTCCTTTCATCACACAGTGAAGACCCCGTGGCCCTTCCCCACACTGTCACCCCCAACACACACACACACTGTTGACCAGAATACAGCCACAGCTTCCTGGCTCTCTCAGAATCCTGACTTCTTCACAACTATTTCCTGAGGCCACAGACAAATCCTGACAGAAAGAGGTCATCCTTGGCCCCTAAACAGGCCTAGCATTTCCCCTCTCAGATGCCAGCTGACTGAGGTTTGACATCAAGCATTTCAAAGAATCCAGACAGTTACTAAAAGTATCAGAAAGCGATGGCTTCCATATCCGGTCCACCCACGCTCACGGTTTCTTCTCACAATCAGTGACTGTCACTCTCCATAAGATCTCAGGGAGCAGCGTGTTCCTCTAAAGCAGAGAGGGTGCCCTGGGGACAATACCAATCATGTCCTTTGCGGTGCAAAGATGTAGCAGAGATCTAAAACCACTGCATTCTCTTTCCTAGGAGGAGCTCACGTCCCAACTACCAGTCACAGTCCAAATGCCCAAGTCCCATATGCCCGGTTGGCTGTGTCCAGCCTCAAAAAAGTCCTCATTTTTGTTACATTCTCAATAACCATTGAGAACCACTCTCAAGTCTTCCAGAACCTCCCTCCAGAAGCAGAATCGCCCATTGGCCATCACCATCTGGGTCTAGTCAACAACGGACATGCAATAGATCCACAGGTAAATGCATGTCCCTCCTCCTGCTGAGTCCCGGCCCTCTTCCGGCACCCCATCTGCCTCAAGAATACCTTCACATCACTCAAGACCCAGCTGAACCACCACAGAAGCTTCCAGAATTTTTTCATGATATTCCACACAGGATGAAGTGAATGCCCCCATTTAGGCACTTCCTCTACCCTCCAGGTGTCTGTCATGGCACCTGAGACACGTCATTGGGTTGGGGTATGTGGCTGTCTCCCACTACCAGACTAGAAGCCACCTGAGGACAGGGACCGTGTCCCAAATGGCTTTGTTATCCCAGCGTCTAACTATGTCTGAACACAGTAGGTGCTCAATAAATGTTTGTTAAATGGAGGAAACTATAAAAATGATGCAAACAATTTTAAATGTGCCCAAGCCTCCTGAAGACCCCTACTCCTTGTAGTCCTCGCCCAGGCCCAACTGTTTCCCTAAGTCGAAGAGGAAAGCATTTTAGAGGGCTGGAGGAACATCTTTCCACAGCACCACTAGATGCTCAAGGCTGCCAGGACATAGGAGATGACAGGGCAGAACTGGAACAGAGCCAGAGGCCACAGCGGGCTGCCTAGCCATGCTCTTCGGTCCACCGTGTCTCATCAGCTAACTCCTCCCAGGCAAAGCTCCTAGACTGTGGACCCTCCACCTCTTTCTGCCACATCTTTTTTTTTTTTTTTTAATTTTTCTTTCTTTCTTTCCTTTTTTTTTTTAGTGAGGAAGATTGGCTCTGAAGTAACATCTGTTGCCAATCTTCTTTTTTGCTTGAGGAATATTGTCCCTGAGCTAACATCCGTGCCCATCTTCCTCTATTTTGTATATGACATGACACCACAGCATGGCTTGATGAGTGGCGTGTAGGTCCACGCCCAGGATCGGGGCCTGTGCACCCCAGGCTGCCAAAGCAGAGCACGCAAACTTAACCACTACACCACTGAGCCGCCCCCTCTGCCACATCTTAAACAAGCCCAGGACCCCTCCCTGGCAGGGTGCCAGTCACCAAGCCTTGCAACAGAAATCAGAGACGGTGGCAGTGTGGCTGGTGGGCCTGTCTACCAGGGGTTGCAGTGGGCCTGAGACAGAGGCATCAGAGCCACACGAGAGAGAAGGACCCTTTTGACCTTCTGACCAGCACCTCTCTCCCCGGCCCTGTGACAAGCCTGTCATCTCCTAGGCAGCTGGAGCTGTAAAGCACACAGGAGGACCCTGGGTGAACTCTCTTAGCTCAGGGAAAAGAAGACACCCCATCCATCCCTCTCGCTCACATCAGAGTGGTCTTGTGAACTTGAATCTGACCACATCACTCACCTGCTCGAAATTCCTCAGTGGCTTCTTTGGGGAAAAATCAGATGACCTTTGAAGGCAGTTTGCCTGCCTGTCCGGCCGCACACTCCTCTTGTATAATAAGCTCAGCAACAGCGAACGGCTTGCCTCAGACGCACCAGACCTGCACACCCCTCTGGCACACGCCCCTCCATGGCCTGGGTCCTCCTTCCACCTTTCCTCACCCGGCAGAAGCCCGGCATCCTTCAATCTCAGCTTCAAGGCTCTCCTCCAGGTGCCTTCCCTCCTCCTCATGCAGAAGCGTAGAAATGGAAGCTCCTTCCCACTGCATGCTGTCCTCTATGTTTCCACCATTGTGGTGGGCCCAGCTTCGCCGTATCACACCCACAGTTCTTCCAGGGTTGGCTCTCACTAGCCTCAGTTTCCTTACCTGTAAAATGGGGATAATAATTGAACTTATCTCGTAGTGCTGCTGGGAAGATTGATCCTGGCAAGCAGCAGTAGGGGTTGGGGAGAGCCAGGGAAAGAAAGGAGAGCAATACAGGGTGCACCCATGAGCAGGTCACCCTGTGGGCCGCTGGAGTTCTATCCTAGTGGGGCCTCGGGAGAAACAGATTGGAACACGCTCTGAACAGTCCCGTCAGAGGAGAGGAAGCTCTGTGTTCATCTGGCAACTCCCTTTTGTCATCAGCTCCAGGATGATTCTGCTAGGGGTCAGGGGGCATCCACTTCCTGGCACTCTGGCCATATATGTGCCAGGCATGTTCCTATGGCCAGAGAAAAGCCCCTGGGCAGAGAGGCTCAGGTGCTTGCAGTGGAAGCCTCTAGACCTGGGCAGGATGCTAACAGCATCTGACACCGTCTCCCTCCAGCTCTGCCATTGGCTGGCTGAGTGAGCTTGGCTCATCTAGAAAGTCAGTGCATCTCATTAGGTCCCTTGTGACTGGTCAGGTGCTTAGTCAGCCCACATCCCCCACGGCTGGGCTGCCCTTAGTGGGTCACTTAGCTTCGGGGGCCTCCGAGGACGGGGCCGGGGCTGCTTTGTTCCTCACTGTATCCCAGCAGCTAGGGCAACGCTCAGCACACACTAGCCGCTTACTGCCCATTGGTTGACTGACCGGCCCGCCTGGGGAAATGATGCACAATGAGGTCATGGACAGAGAAACCCAACATTTAGACTCAAACCCTACTAGGGTCCCAGGCAATGGAAGATGGGGACCCCTGCCTTTTGAGCTGCATGTATGCTGTGGTCTATACGTGTGATGTAAGTTTTAACTTTCCAAGATGGCACTTCAGATCCAGAAACGGCCACATATAGGAGCTATGAAGATAATATTTGGGGGTCTTGTTACCTTACGTGGCTCAGAGCTGGAGTGGACCCAGCTAACTGCAGCCCGTGCACCTCTGCACCGGGTACCAGGCTCTTCACCCTCCGACATTCTGCCCAAGCAATGCCGATTCTTCAGGACCAAGAGGCAGCCTGGAAACCTCAATAGATATTATCACAAAACATCGAGCAGCACTAGTGGACCACAGGGGATGCCCTCACTCCTCCACTGCTGCCCACACGCTCCGAGCATCCCCAGCATCTCCTCGGACACTTCCCAGAGTTGGGTCCCTGCGTACCTCCCGGGGCCCAGGGGATGGGACCGCGCTCACCTTCTGGAGAAATGCCATCCTCGGCCTGTACTGCTGGCCTTGGTGTCGGATCGTCATCCTGGATGCTGGATGAATTCACAACCAGAACACACGCGGCCGAGAAAAGAACCAGCCCGGAGCGCAGGAGCCCGCGAGCCCCGCACACGCCCTGGCGTCCGGGGGAGGTGGCTGCGCGCGGCGGGCTGGGGGGCGGGGGGGCTGCCGGCGGCGCCCCCTTCTCTCCCGCTCCGCACGCGCCCCCGGGAGGGCCGGGATCCGCGCCAGCCAATCCGCGAGCCGCGCCGCGGGCTCATTAGCATGGGCTGCGCTGGCGCCCACCTGCCGCCAGGGGGCGACGTCCGGCTCTGCCGGGGCCTGGGGAGTCTCAGGCTGAGGCCCGCGCCTTGAGGACCCGCGAGTGAAGGATCTGTCGCAAAGGGCGAGCCTGGGGCCGCACCACTAAGCCTGGGGAAGTGAAAACAGTAAACCATGGGTTTTGGATCGCTGGTTAGCCGGCCAAGTCACTGGATGGCCCTTAGCAAATTGGATAAACTTTCTTAACGCCAGTTTCCTCATCCAACCGGAGGAAAGCAAGTGAGTGGGTGGGAACTGACACCTGTCTGTCAGGTGCTGTGAGACCGGAATGAATAACCGAGTCAACTGGCAGTGGAGTGTGGTTGGCGGTGAAGAATGCTGCTCACCTGCCAGGTGGGCTGGCTCTGAACGCCGGATTTGCCACTAGCTCTAGGATCTCAAGCGAGTTAGGGAACCTCTCTGGGCTTCCTTTTCCCCCATCTGATCAATGAGGATACTATACCTCCTCGTGGTTTTTGGGGGTTTTGTTCTAGTTTGGGTTTTAAGATTACTAAGCTAATAATGCATGTGAAAACACTTACAACCGGGACTGAGACGAGGTGAATGTCACGTAAATCATAGTTTCTCGTATGTCTCTTGGGACTCTTTCTTAAAAATCACCATGCCTGGTGGCTCATTATGCATACGGTCAGAATAATATGAGAACTGTTGGAGTAGTAAATGGAGATTGGAATGGGCTAAGCAAAGTAATTTCAGAATCGTTTTAAATGTGTGTGTACCTGTGACTGTTTCCTTATTCTCTTATTTTGTTGATTTGGGTTTTCCCCTTTTTTCTTGATTTGGTTAGATGGTGATTTATTTCTTATAATGAGATAGTGTGTGTGTTTGTGTGCATGTGTGTGTTTACTTGAGAACCAGGTTTTATTTAGAATTGGAACTTCAAGATCATCTAGTCTTTGGATATTTATGCTGCTAAAATTAGTTAACAGACGCAAGAGGAGCTGTAAACTAGATAAAAACATTCAGTACATAGAGTGACCCCCTGTGTCGCTTTGCACCTGTCGCCCTGAAGTAGTTCGTGGCATCCTTTTGCACTCACATCCATTTACTATGGGATGATAAATCAGATGGTCACTCTAACCACATATCCGTTTCTCACTCTACAATGATCAGATCAAGCCTCCCCATTTCCTAGATGAGGGAGACATCGTGAGGCAGTGGAAAGAGAATGTGACTAGGACTCAGGACATTTGGATTCTGATCTCAAATTTATTCCTGACCCACTGGGGGACTTTAGGCAAGGCACATCCCCTCTCGAAGCCTCAGTCCCTGGTCAGAGTTGTTCAGAGCTCCTCAAAGTTTGCTCTACAAGCTGTGCTTCTCAAAGTGTAATGTACAAACCAGTCTCCTGGGGACCTTGTTAAAATGCAGATTCTGATTCATGGAGTTCAGGGTGAGGCTGAGATTCTGCATTCCTAACAGGATCCTGCTGATGCCCATGCTGACTTCAATCTGAGCAGCAAACATCTAAAAAGACTTATTCCACAGACTACAAATCAGTATGACATTTTAAAAAATAAGAAGCAGATTACAGTGAAATACATTCAGAAATCTACATGCCTAATACATTTAAAAGGAATTATTTGCTGCAGGGCTCCCCAAACCTCTAGCATACTTCCAAACAGAATGACTTGAGCAGCTCAGAAGAAAAGTTTTTCAGAAAGACAAGGTCTTTATTTTATAAACTAATGCAACAGAGGTAAGACAGCAGCCAGTTTTCCCACGCTTACCCTCAACCCCTCTCCCAGACGAATAGATGAAGTCTCTGATTGCTTGCCATACTTAAACCTCGTTGCAAGGAAAACAGTTTCACCCACAGCTCCCTCCACAGCCCCACCGCACCCACTGGCTCATATTTTGCACCCATGTCATGTGACTTGACCCATGGCTAACTGACCAGAGACACTGGAGTTCCTGACCCAGGCCACCAGTTCACACACTGGCCAAGAACCTGCAACAAAGGATGAACTGGACCAACCAGATTATCACTCTTGGAAATAGCCACTTGAGCCAGCTAGGAGAGGTGGCCAAATCTGAAAAGAAGCTCCAACGTGGAATCAGGCCCATGATGAAGCAAAACCACAGGTGAGCTAACGTCACGAGGGAGACAAACTCTGAGCAGGCCGTGGAAGCCTGGAGTAGAAAAGAGAATGGAACAGCAGCACAGAGCGATGTAGGGATACCCCAAGAGCCATTAGAAATGGAAGTGGAGGCTACTGGGGGCTATTGGGGTCACAAACAGCAAATTGTGTCATCCTTAGTTAGTTTTCATGGTGGTGATGGGCTATAGATTAGAGGAATGATGGAAACATATTATAGTTGTGTTTCAGCAAGACATTTGCGGACCAGAAAGAAAAAAATGAACATTGTCCCCTCCCCTCCAGGAAGCCCAAAGGAAATTTGCAGCCAATTTGTAGCAAGCATAGGACTTTAATGCCATTGTATCTTCATTCTGTCCAACACCACCCTATACTCACCCTGGTCTTCACTCCATATTTAATTTGTTTTCCTTGTCCTGATTTTTAATTTATTGTTTACCATTTTATATTATGCATCTCCCTATGCCTCATTGACTCAATTGTGAAAAGAGACATGGTATAAATAAATAAATAGATTGGATAAAAACTAACTTTAGTGGATTCATGTCTGAATGATCATATCCCCAATATTTCCTTAATCATCAGTGTGGGCAGAGAGATAGGTCTTTAGTTGCATGTCACAGGACCCCAAATTGCATCCTGTTAAAAATCATAGGGATCATAGTGACAACATTGATGACACAGTGTTTACATTTTCGAATGATGATGCAAAAGACAAGAATGACTAATACATTAGAAAATAGTATTTGCATCCAAAAGTTCTTGCCAATCTGAGCTTTATCTGATGTGCTTTCAGGAACTGATCAAATGCCCACACTGAATCAGCATCTCTGAGATCAACTTCAAATGTTTGGATTTCTAACTATTATCAAAAGTCATTATAAGAGCTATTCATGTGAATTTCTTTTTGAAAAAGTTCTGATTTGATCCAAAACTGTTAAGATATTGTCCATTCTATCCCTCTACCATGTGCCATAGGAGAAATTTCTTTCAAAGTTTATTTAGTAGCAACAAAAATTTAGTCTTCCCTAAAAAACCCCTACAATGCTTCCTTTTTCTTGAGCAAGAGAGACGTAAATCCTGTTTCTTGTTCATGTTGACCAGCAGACCACTTCAAATCTGGCATTAGTCTTCCTTGGAGCAACAGGAATGAACACTTGGTTTCTAATTTTTTTCTCCACTCTGTTTTCCTATTTGAGTTCATCTACCATTGGTTTTATTATCTGGGCTTTTTTCTTTTGGTAAGCCACCACGACTCCTTTTTTAGAATGATATGGGATCTAAATAAATTATATTTGAATGATTAGTGGAAGATTGCTTGATGAATTGGACAAGGTGGGGGAGAAAGGAAAAAATGTGCAATCTCAACAGTCTTCAAGATAAGTGGCTGTCTTTATCGAAATGATTTTTTGAACCTACCTTGTTTTATTTTAGTCCAAGATACCAGGGAGAATAGCGTGGTGAAAAAATATATTTGAATTTGATAAACATCTTGCTCTCTTTACAAGACAATTGATTAGAGCACTTCTGTCTATCTAAACTGATCAGCTCGACTCAGAAGTGAGAGGATGTCTCCTTCCCGCAAGCCTGAATCTCCTCTCTCCTCGCTGCATCTCCATCATTTCCAGGTGAGATGGATGAGTGAGCAGATGAGGGAGGGAGGAAGTGGGTAGGAATGTGGATGGGTATGGGGACTTCGGAGAGTTCACATAGAATGAGCTGACCTAAGTCAGACCTCCCAGTCACTCCCAGTATGCCATCCTATAATAAGAAATGTTTCCCCTCGGTCCTATCCATTCTAAGGAGTGGAGTTCCTGCAATAAATCCAGGGCAGAAATTTCCCAGAAACACTTTCTATAAATTATCAAAGGCAAATATGACAATACTGTCTCATTTTCTGTCCTCCATGAGACACCAAAATATGCCTCCTTTAAGTGGGAATCAAGTGGATTCTGCATAATAATATTGACATCTTTGCTTTTATAAGTTCTTTTTCCACTATAAAATATACATGCAAACTACCGAAAATTTAGAAAATAGAGAAAAGCAAAATTTTAAAAATGTAATAATATCTAATCTGGGAAAAGAAATTTGGATGACTTGAAATGGAGTGCATGACAGAAATGGACCTGCTGAAAGTCTGGGGACTTGGATTCTGATTTCAGCTCTGCTCTAACTAGCTGGGGTGGCCTTGGGCAAGTGACTTATTTTAGATGATTTTTTTTCCACTTGTAAAAGCAAAAGGTTGGGCCAGCCACAGCCACTATTCCGGTATCCCAGGATCGCAGAATAGTTAGACAGGCAAATGCTATAGGCCAACTACCTGGGTTTACATTCCCAGTGCTGTCATTTATGAGTTGTTTGAGCCTGGGTAAATGTCATAGCCTATCCATGTTTCAGTGTTCTCATCTATAAATGAAGATCATGATAATCTGTCTCACATACTGATGATTCGGTGAATGTTGGCTACCATCATTATCTTAAACACAGTCCAGCGTGCCTTCCCAGCCATATCTAATGTCACACAAGACCTCTTTTCTGAGAGCCACACATCCAATGTGGTCTACTCAGCATCACTATGACCTCACATGTCATTTGGGATCTCAACTTTGTGGTGTCCAAAACTGAGTGAGTAATCCCTGCGCATCTCAAACCTACACCTCCTTCACTGTTGCCTATCTCAGCAAATAATACCAACGCCCACTCAGTTGCTCATCCCGCAAACTTGGGAATTGACCAGAGAACTCTTTCTCTCTTACTCCTGAGATCTAATCAATCATCACATGATGTTGACTCTGTTTCCTTAATTTTTCTTAATACATCTACTTCTGTCATCTCTACTGCCGCCAGCTAAATCCAAGCTACCGGCGTCTCTTGGCTGGGCAACTGCAATGGGGCCTAACTGGACCACATTCATTCCTGCCCCCTCATTCCCTTCCAACTTTCAATTCATTCCTCCCGCTGTCACTGGAGTGATTTTTTTTAACTCTGTATTTACACGTTTCAGTCTTCTGCGTAGAGGGCTTCAGTTGCCCACCACAGATCTTAGGAAGAAGCCCATTTGTAACGAATCTTACAAGGCCGCTCGGGCCCATCCCATGCCCCTCTTTCTCTTCATCTTTATGCCCCCACTACACTGGCCCCATTTCTGGAACAACCCATGCCTCTTTTTGCCTTAGGGCTGCCACATTTGGCAAAAACTATTCTTCACTTACTTCTTACCTGCTAACTTCTCATTCTTTGAGTTGCAGCCAAAATGTCACTTCCTCAGGCAAAAGTCTTCTCTGACTCCCTCCCCAGACTGGGTTAGGTCGTTCCACTATGCCTTTTCTGGGGCCACTTTCCTTAATTATAATTTTTTTCGCTTGTAAAAGGAAAAGGTTGGGTTTGTAAAGCTGTGTCATAGCAGTATTTTTCACAGTAGCCCAAAGGTGGAAGGAACCCAAGTGCCCATCAATGGATGAATGGATAAATAAAATGTGGGATTTATATACAGTGGAATATTACTCAGGCTTCAAAAGGAAGAAGTTCAGCCTTCAAATGGTTGATTATTACGTCAGTCTCTCTGTATTGTCTGTCTATATTCCTAACTGGACTGTCAGCCCCATGAGGACGGGACTTGATTCTCTTATTCACATGCTATTCCCAGCACTTGGCTCTTGCTGGGGTAGAGCAGACTTTCAGTCAGTATTTGAGAGAAGAAGGAGATTTGGAAAGACACGCAGAGAATAGAAATGAGGGACCACGTGACCCCAGGAGCCTCAGTTTCTATCTGTTCAGCTCCAGCCCCTCAGAGGCCCAGCTGTTCATTGACTTTGCTGCCTGTCGTTGGATGCACAGACGTGTCGTTACAAGCCCTTTACTTAGGGTGGCATGAGAGCCTTTCTGCTCCTGGAGTGCTGGAACTGTGGCTTCTCCTTCAAAATTCCCTCAAGGCTTTTCAAATAAGGATGATAATAATGACAAATGCTCATATCATCAACTGAGTATGAGCCTGGAGCTGTTTTAAGTGTTGTAGAGATCACTCACTTAATCTTCACGACAACCCCCTGAGGGAGGTACTGTGACACAGTCCCCGTTGTTCAGATAAGAATCCAGAGGTGGTGGGATGTGGCACGGGACTAGCCAGTAGCAGAGGTGGGCTTCGAACCTAACAGTCCAGCTTCAAAGTCCATATATGTAACCAATATACTGCATACAAATCCCCACTGTAAGTCTGGCATAACCGTGCATGGAATAGAGACGGGAGAGGCGTAGGGTAGCTGAACGGTGGGGAAGGCTTACTTGCCTCTCCCGATGTGTTTTCCCTGGAGCATTCCCTGCTAGCTGCACCTCTCCCAACCTAGCTCTGCCCCTTAGCTCGCTCTGTCCTGGAGGAAGTGGAGTGACTCATCTGATTGGCAAATTTGGGAAGAACTACAGCCCCTTAGGCATTAAGCTTCCTGCAGACAGCATCTGTTCTACATTATCCCACCCTAAGAAGCCCTGCCCTGGGACTGCATCACCGTGACCAGTGGGAGACCCGACTCCTTTGGACTTCGGCAGGCCCATTTGGGTCTCTATGCATCTCTCAAACTAAGCTCAGGTCTCCAACTCAGCCTTTATCAGAAACAAGAGTACTGTTTCCATGCTCAATCTGTCCCATCCAGGCAGAGGAACTGTCGTCTGCCCCATCAGAGACCCCACACTCAGTAGGATTTTATGGTTGCCCTGGGTGGTCTGGTTAGACAAGCAGGTTTTGGTGCTAGGACCCTCTGAGTTTAGGCACACTAAGCTGAATTCCCAATGGCAGACGTTCGAGACAGGTACCTCCATCCCTGTAGACACACTGCCCCAGCCTCCCTTACCCACCAGTGAAGAGGGCCAGAGGTACTGCTCCAAGATGTGAGGTAGGAGGTGCCCTCATTGCGCATGGTGGAACCCAGGGCTGCTGGAGCTGCCTCCACCTTGACCTGGGCACTCTCTGCTTTGTCGGGTCTCTCTGAGGCAACACAGATGATGCTGAAGGAGAATACCCCACCTTTACTAGGTTTCTGAAGGGTGCCCAGCCCTTCCACCTTTCAACTCATTGAATCCTCATAATATCCCTGTGGGAAAGCTACAATGATGATGCCCCTTTTACAGATGGGGAAACTGAGTCAAAGAGGCTTTAGATAACTACCCTGGTCGTGTAGCCTTGAATGGTAAGTGGCAGAGCTGGGACATTGCCCCAGGCAGGCTGGTTCCAGAGTCCACACTCCAAACTCTGCCTCGGGCTACTTCGGCCCAGATGAACACCAGCTGATGACCCTCAGGCACACTGGCCACCAAGATCTCCCCTGGGGTTTTGGTGTCCCTGGTATTCCTGTGTCAGGCTCTGGCCCAGCACCTCCTTTTGCTGCCAGCAGGCACTGTCTTTCCTAAGGAACAGCTGCAGAAGCGGGAGCAAGTATGTCAGTCCTATTGTGACCTTCCAAAGCAAGGGGTTTTCCAAAGTTCCCACCCCGCTGCTTTCTGCCCCCGATTTTTCTGGGAACAAGTGCCGTCTGGAAAGGTGCAGAAAGATGACTGATCCAGGATACATAAAGGAAATGAAAACATGAACACCTGTGAGGAGTTTGTTTAACGTCCACAAGTTTCACTTTCTTTATTAGACAAGGAGTTTCAAATTCCATCTCCCTCACTCTTACTTCTCTTTGCTTCCACGTGGGTCTAAACACTGCTTTTCTTTCTCCCTTCTGCCCTCCCCGCTTGTCTCTCTCCCTTCTCTTCCTCTTTCCCCGGTAACACCAGCTGGCATCTTCACCTTGGAAACAGTAGCTCTGCCCTTTTTTCTCCTCTCTCTCTTCTTTGATTGCCAGCCGTTCTGGGTTCAAAGCCAAGGCAGGCTGCCCTGCAGACTTCAGTATTTTTTAATATGAACCCCAGAGAATTTATCTCTCTCAAGGATTGCTGGCATCCCTTCCTCCAAGATCTGTGACTCCCAATTGCCTCCTAGACGAAGACCCTGCCCTCAGCCTGGCATTCCAAGGCTGGCCCAGAGCTGATCTCATTTTCTAGCCATTGCCGCTCCCTGCTCCCTAACACTCCCTAAGACCCTCTGCTTCTGTCAACTCAGGCCGCTTGCCTTTTCCTGGGCACATGTTGAACTTGCTTTGGGCTCTTGCCTCTCCGTCTGCCTGAAGCCCCTCCTCCACATCATTCGTTGGCAGTTGATGCAGCCCTGACGCCCCGCTTCCGGAACATCTCCCTGTGCCCAGTCAAAGCCACACTTCCTTCCTCTCCCTCCTTTGGCCCTAGTTCAGGGCCTGCTAGTGACACTCACTGCTCCCAGGGGCTCCATGCCCCCTCTGGACTGCAAGCATCCCCAGGGGTACAGCCAGGGGCTCGTACAACTTCCTCACATCCCTCATCCTGCCCCTGCATTGCACACTTCTCCACCCAGCCTGCTCCCTCCCCATCACATCTGCAGTGCTCCCAGAGCCCCCTTCCTAAACAAACGCCCCTCTGTTCTAGAAGGCAGCCCCTCTGTTCACTCAGCAGCCCTGAGGGTGCCACCTCTCTTGCTTCTCTCCCACCTTCCTCCCCTATGCCCAGAGCAGTGCTTCCTCTAGTTTCCTCAGACACTCCCCCACTCAGATGCTAAGAGTCCTCCTCCTCTGGGGCTCAGCCCACCCAGCTTTGCCTCCTTCCACCCATCTGGGTATCTGCCTGCAGGTTTCTTCCCTGTTTTCAGTCTCTTGTCTTCATCTTGGATGACTTCAGGGTCCCCCTGGGTCACCCACCTGACTTCCCAATCTTATAGATCCCCAAGGACCTCTGCCATCCCTTCATTTCAGCCACACTCTGGACTTTGTCCTCATCCACAAATATGCCGCCTTCGAAACCTGGATTTCAGCTCCTGGCCCTGCGAGCCAGCTTCTGGTCCCTCCAGCTCTCTCTCCGTCCCTCTGCTCTCAAGTGCCCTTCAGTGCCCGGGCCCACCCCTCCAATCCCTCTGGTCATCAGGCCCTCCCTGGCTGCACTTCGCACCCCACTGAGCCTGGACTCCAGGTCAGTCGTGTGAACTAACTTCTCAATAGCCTCTTCGGGCCCTCCCACCTGACAGACTTACCCTCAAATCCCCCTGGCGTAAGACAATCCTGTATGTGAGTGAATAAGGGAACCTGGAGGAAAACACAACTGTGAAGTAACGTCAGTTTGATCCCAAGGTTACCATCTATTTTGGATCTTCAAACTACACATCCCCTCCTTGAACTCGGCAGCTCTCTCTGCCTCTGGGAATGCACATTCACACAGGCCAGCCCCTGGGACTCATTCGGTCTCATGCCAAGGTCAAGACAAGCAAGGAAAGTTTTGGGATGTCCTGGTGGGCTCTGGGGACTATTTCCCAAGGGTGACTCAGAGCTCCATGGAGAGAAGCAGGCTGGGACTCAAGAGCCTGTGCTTTCTTTTCCTTTCTTCTGTCTTTCCAGGAAGCCTTTGGAACAGGATGCAAATGCAGCTCTTTCCATCCAGCCCGGCATCCTGCTTCCAGATGCAAGAGGCTGAGCAGGCCACTGGGATAGTATTTAAGCGGCTGTGACCACCATGTCCCCATTTGGAAACTGGAGCCCAGGGACCGCCCTCCCCCTCCCCTGTCCCGGCCTTTAAAGTGGTCTGAATAATACATTACACTTTTATTCGTCTTCCTCGCTAGATGCAAGCACTTTACCGGAACCCTGTCATATTCATCTTTATGGCCTGAGGTTCTGCTCCTGGTAGGAGCTCAGCAAATGTTCGGTAAAATGAATTTTTAAAGTAATTATTGAATCATCAAGTCAATGTTTGGATAAACCAGTCAGAGTGAGACTGTTCATGAATCTGCCTAGAAAATACATTTCTTCATACAGTGCTGTTGTCTTTGTCGCTTGGCCTGGAAAAAGCTTTCCCGTATATACATGTGAGAAGTGCCACAACCAGCTGTCTGAATGCTTGAGTGCGAGCTAAGGGAGGCGGTAGATCTGGGAGCATTTATCGAGCCCTCATTATTGCACATCGTGGTGGGCATCAAAGGTGATATACACAGTCACTAGAAAGAGAGTCTGCTTGTCTCAGGGAGCCAAGATGCCCACAGAACAGCACAAATAGCACAGGGAAGAGTGGTGAGGGCACAGGCTTTAGAGACAGGCTGGGTTCCCATCCTGCTCTGCCACATCCGTGCTGTGTGCCCTAAACACGTTACTCAACTTCTCTCTGTCTCAATTTCCTTAAATGTAAGATGGGAATCATACTAATCATAGTACCTACTTCATAGGGCCACTTCTGAGGATTGAATGGAATATGTGTGAAGCACTGAAAATAGTTTCTGGCCCTTTATCGGGGATAATTGTTGTTATTATTATTATTGACTATACTGTTAAATGAGATATTATATATAAAGTGCTAAGCAGTGCCTGGCACTTATCAAGCACTCGGCAATGTTAACAGCTATTATTATTATTATCATTTTTATTTTTAAGTTCTGAATTAGTTATCTGTTGCTGTGTAGCAAATTACCCCCAAATTTAGCAGCTTAATACAATAAACACTTTTTATCTCCAGTAGTTTCTGTGGGTCAGGAATCTGGCAACAACATATAGCTGCATGGTTCTAGCTCAGGATCTCTCAAGGGGTGCAGACAGGCTGTTGCCTGGGGCTTGACGAGCATCTGTTCCAAGATGGCTTACATGGCTGGCAAGTTGATGCTGGCTATTGGCAGGAGGCCTCAATTCTTCCCCAGGTTGACCCTTGTACAGGGCCACTTAAGGGGCCTCACAATACGGCGGCTGCTTCTCCTCTGGTGAGTAATCCAAGAGAACAAGGCGGAACCCATAATGTCTTTCGTGAAACTTTGTGCACAATAATCTATTAGTGACACTGGTCAGCCCTGTTTATTTTGGGAGGGGCTACATGAGGGTGTGAAGACCAGGAGTGGAGACTCGCTGTCCTGGAGGCTGACTACTGCAGGTCCTAAATATGAGTTCCACTGGAGTTCGGAAGAGGGAGAAAATTGAAGGTTAGGGCATTCAGAGAATGTTCTGATTTTTTTAAGCTGGATCTTAGAGAGACGTCCTTCATCATTTCTTTTTCCTCACATTCTTTACTTCCACAGCTCTGGGAAAGAGGACTTTTACAATCAGAAGGGCAGGAGGGAAGCAGGGAAAGTATGAGGAAAAGTTTAAAAGAGGTGACAGGACCTATTTGAGGGATAGTAATGGGGAGACTGACATTGGGAAGGAAAAACGTCTAGAAATAGGGTGAAGGAGGCAGCCTGGGCCTGCCCAAGGAGAGCTCCCAAAGCCGAGTAAATACGTTTAAACTCGCTGAGGTAGAAAGTAAACATTAAAGGAACTCGGCTTTGGCTGAACACCTTTTCAAAGTGCCTGCAGGCTTGTTTGATGTGGGGGATTTGAGGCTGGGTAACGGATTTTTGGAGCTGGAAAGTATTCTCCTCTAAGGGACATTCGCTTCAATGCGAGCATGCCCTGGCGAGGTCAAGGCAACACCAGGAAACGGACTTTAATAGCTTCCTTATATCAGGGTAGGAAGCTCGAGTTGATAAGAAAGTTGGACTCCCGCATCCCGGTTGGAGGAGGAGCCTCCCCAGAGGAAACGTTGGAGTGGGAGATAGTCTGTGTTTACACAGCACGCTGGCAATGTCTGCAGTTTATACAAACTGCATCCTTGGCACGGCTGAAGACAGAACCGCCTAACCTAGAAAAACCCACAGCTGGTGCCCAGCCAGCACCAGGAGGAAGTGTCTGCCCAGACCCAGCCTGCTGGGGGCTCAGAGCCGCCTGGACCCCTTGGGGGTGGGGGCTCCCCTGCACACCGCTGCCCTGACACTGGACACTGCAGTGCCGGGCAGGGCCGTGACAGTCACTTAAGCATCCCCTTCGCGTCCTGCACGGACTACCTGTTCACCTCTTCCAGTCATTCCAGTCAGCAACAGGGAGTGTGTCATGACACCCCTGAGACATGACTGTGGCCCGCTCATCAAGCTCATAACGAACCTTAACGTTTGTGGATCAGTGGGGGTCCCCAAGTGTTCCCACTACGACCCAAATGATTCGCAGACCCTGTGGTGCACTGTGCTGCTGAGCGGGGTGGCATGAGGCAGGCCTTTCTGGATTTGAATCAGCACCATCCCTTGAGGGTGACCTTGGCGACTGCCCTTTACCTCTCAGAGCTTCAGTTTCCCCATCTAGGAGACGGGGAGACGGCTAACAGATAAAAAGTCCTTGAACAGGGACCAGCATGTAGCAAGAGCTCATAGACAACGACCACCACCACAATCTCATTATTACTCCGTTATTATTCCATGCCTCCTAGTCTTCATCCAGTCAGCCCAGAAGGCCCTCTTTCCCATAAGCCCTTTCTCTTCTCTCAAAACTCAACTCAAATACCACACACCTGCTTTCAGGGTGGCCCCATGCCGAGCTCCTAGGCTAGTCGAGAAGCTCTAACGCTCGTGGCCCTGGGCAGCTGTGCCTGTTCCCATCATGGCACAGAGAACGTAGCACAGTGATGGCTGGTTGACCAGTTGGCGTCACCCACTGTGAACTCCTTGTAAACTCATTCTGCTTTCTACTCCGCAATGTGTAGCACACTGCCTGGCCCGGCAGGCACTCCCCACACGTCAGACAACGCAGTGTTGGGCTGGTTCCATAGTCCATAGGTCAGTCCCTAACTGTGCCAGCGGCCCCAGCAGGTTTGCTTCTGGCCTGGACCATCTGCACGTGGAGACTGGAGACTGCAGTGACTCAGGCACGACTGGAGGATTAGAGAAGCCGGGGCCATGGGGGAGGGGTGAGCAGCTTCTTTTCCAGCAGAGCCTTCCCCGTACAACACAGCAAAAACTGAAGTCATGGCAGAAGTTATGCTTTTCCCAGGGAAGATAGTAGGGGTATGAAGCTACCCAGGGAGAGGGGGGATTGCAGCCTAGACCTTTCCTCTGACTTCTGAAAAGTCCTAAATTTGGCTCCCAACACCTAAAGGAGGTCCCTAGAACTAAGGAGTGTCTTCACAATCTCAGAGACTTTGGACAAAGTCCAGGGTCACCGTGTGATTCAGAGGGTGGAGTATGTGCTATAAATTTGCTTTTAAAAAAATCCTGAAGAAACACAGTCTCTTGGCCCCGGGTTCAGACATCTGTCTTAGGGGAGTTGCTTTCTGAACAACAGAAGCACCCTGGTCCCTTAAACCTTTCGGTGTCAACCCAGTCTCCCAAGCTCGCCGTCCTCAAGCCTGCCACAATCTTGCTCTCCCTCACTCTAATGTGGAGTCTGGCTTTGTAAAGTCTCTGGATGGTTCTATTCACTCTCAGGGTAGCCAGGTCCTATCACTGCACACCTGAGTCCCTGCAGCCACCTCTAAGCTGTTCTTCCTGGCTGCTGTCTCTCCTCTCTCCTTCCCCTCACGGGCTCCAGGGCCAGATGAATCACCCTAAAGTAACACCCATGTCACCCACCCTCTTCTCAAAAATACTCCAGTAGTTCCCATTTAGTGACACAATAAAATCTTGATGTCATAACCTGGGACCCAACCTGACTCCACCATGCCTCTTTGACATCAGCTGTTGGTTCTGATCAAACCAGCTCCCACATTGTCGTGGGCACTCACCAGAAGTGTGCCCACTCTGAGGCTGTTCCCCCTGCCTGTAATGCCTGTCCTCACTCCTTTCCTTGTAACCAAGCTTTCAAGGCTTCTGTCCACTTCCCATGGATTGGCCCAGGAAAGAGCCACTAGCTCCACATAGCTACTGAGCACTTGAAATGTGGCTAGCGACACTAAGAAACTTATTTTTTATTTTAATTAAGTTAAATTTAAAGACTGATACTTGGAACAACTTAGTTTTGTGAATCTACTTTTTCAACCGTAAATTTTATGAAATCTAAAGACAGACGAGAGATCTTTAAGGAAAATTCAGTGTCTGAATTGCAATTGTTGCAAATGTAAAATGCATGCTGGATTTTGAAGACAGTAGAAAAAATGAAGAATGTAAGAGAGCTCTTTAATAGTCTTCTTTGAAATGTCATTTTGGATATATTGGATTTAATAAACTATACTGTTAAAATCAATTTCACTTTTTTTTCACTTTTCTAATGTGGGTACTAGAAAATTTAATATTACTACGTGGCTTGCATTACTTCTTATAGACAGCCATGCTCTAGTCTCTAGATTGCTGAAGCAATGGTCTGTTTAGTTCACTGAAAACTTCGCAAAAGCAACTTTGTATATTTTTAAATCTTTATATGTATATAACAAAATCATTTTAACTGCTTTTAATCCCCAATGCGCAGCGACAAATGCTACTATTTCCTGACATCTATTTTGAGCCTAGTTCTAGGTGCTTTGCATATGTTATCTGCAGAGCTGGGATTCAAGCCCACACCTGCCCAACTCTCCCTGATGCTCTTCGTGAGCCCGGCTCATGCCGGATAGGAGTGGGCGCACACTGAGTATCTGCTGTTGAGAAGGATGGCTCAGGTTCTAGTTTCTCCCGGCCTGCCCAGGCAAACGCCACTGTCCTGCTTGCCCCCGTGTAAGCAGGCTATTTGATCGACGTCCATTGTGTGATGGTGTGTCCTGATCATCCCCACCCCACACACACCCTCCAGCTAGTTCAAGTCGCTTAATGACCCACGATGTGGTATTATCTAGCCATTCCAAGTTAGCACAGTGTGTAGGGAGATCCAGGACCGTGGTTCTGACAAGCGGAGCTGAGCCAAAAGTTTCCTCTCCAGTTACGACATGGGTACCTCCAGTCCTAGAGGGCTGCAAATCTCGCTGGCAACCCTTAGAAATGCAGGAAATCGATTTGGGATCATGCAGATGGTGCATACTCATTTAAATTACACTTAATTAGCCTTTACGATATGCCCTGCTAGCCGGTGAAGATACAAGGTAAGCTAGCTGTGTCCCTTGCCTCAAAGGGCCCACATCCTGATGCAGTAGGTGAGGGAGGGGACAATTAGTCTAGTGTGACCTGTGCTGTGATGGAGGGAAGTGAGGATGCTGTAGGACCTCAGAGACCAAGTATCTTGACCAACCTGAGGAGGCAGAGAGGGGAAGGAAGGAAGGGATGGGGCTGGCGGAGGGAGGGCAGGAAGGAGAGGGGAGCAGGAGAAGGGAAGGATGGGAGATAGGGGAAGACGGCCTGTGAACCAAAACAGAGATGACTCCGGGTGTTTCCAAGCACTGCTGGCCAAACTAGAAGGATGGCTGGCACTCTTGGAACACGCATGAAATTTACCAAGAGAACAATTTGTCAAAAGAAACATCTCCTAAGAAAATGCTGTTATTCCGTGAGAGGATTATGCCGGGGGGAGGGGTCTTTTCAGAAACACCTCCCGGTTCCTGGCTATTTGATAGAGCGTCCACTACTACTATCCGTTTCCTTGTTTATGGAGAAGAGTCAATAATTAAGAATAGGGCCATGGAGGGGCATATCTTTTGGGGGCCCAAGACATCAGTCGTAGGTATATAGTTTGTTTAGAGTTTCCAGCAGAACTCATTGGCTTTCAAGATGAGTCCATGGGTCTAGTATGTCTGTCCCAGAGGGAGTTAAAAAGCCCCCTAAATCCCAATTCCCTGCTTATTGTAACAAATTAGCCAAGAGTCTCTGTGATTTGCTGGATTCTTAGAAAACGCCTAAGGCAATAGGCGTCATAATCTGAGCTCCTAGCCCCTTGTGCCGTCTGAAATGCACATCAGGTACAGAACTCCCTAGTTACAGACGATGAGTTCGCCTGAAGGGCTTGCCGTCCTGCCTGAGGCAGTGCTGCAGAACCCTACCTCCTCCTGGAGCTGGGTTTAACTTCTTGGGGATAACTTCCTTCGCTTTCCCCGAGGCCCTTAGCAGAAATCCTACGTTAGGGGGTAACTAAGGATTGGTTCAAAATGCGTTATGCGTCTGCTTACTATAAAGCGCTCATGGACTTCTTGCCCAGGGTGGACATGGGAAGGGCAGTGACGCCCCAGAGGCTCAGCAGGCTCCTACCAGAGGGCCACAAAAGTCCCCAACCAAGGACTGGCTATTAAATGACTTAAATATAGTGTTTCAGCCAAACATTCAAAAGTTTCCCCCTTGGGATCCACCTCGAGAGCCTGGGAAGTTGGACATTTCTGAGGTCTAGTTTAGGCCCCACGTTTGTAAAATGGAGGCAATTTAGATGTTATCTCATTACATCCTGCCAGGCAATAGCAGCCTTGGCTCCGGGAGAGACAAGTCCCCACCTCTGCCTGTGATTTAGAGGGTCCTGCTCTGGCCCTCGTCTAGTTCTGTCCCTACTCCTAGGGCAAGGCCAAGTGACCCGCCCAGAGCCTGTGCTTCTGCCCAGGCCAATCTCCAGGTACTGGGATCCCCAAGTTCCTTATTTAAGTAGGCCAAGGCCATTTCCCTAAGGAGGAATGCACCACAGCCCCAAGGGCTGTCCAGTGGTGGCTCTTGGTGGGGGTGTGCACAGAGCACAGGCATGTGAGCTGAGGTATCTACATGCATGTCCATGAGGCATCCCCTCATTACCCATGACCTTGAAGATGTAGATACCAGTCTTTAGTTAGACAGTAAACTCTTTGAGAGAAGGAAATGTGGTGACATTGACTGAAAGCCTGCTCTGTCATCTTATATAACTCCCCCCAAATACTCTGGGATCATCATACCCACTTTACAGATTAGAAAACAAAGCCCATGCTCTTCATTCACTGTGCAAACATCTCTACTTGAACCTCTGCTCTCTGGTTGAGGTGCTTATGCTCCCGGTGCTGGTGGGACATAAGAAATCCCACCCCTCTTCAGAGCTCAGATTTGAGGCACTACCCCTAATACGCATGTATTTTTCTCATTGTTGTACTAGATTCTTTTGACCAGAAACAGATCATGTTGGGGGACACGTCAGCTTCTATGAGTGAACTCGAGCACAGGAAAGAGAAGAGATATGTTTAAATCATACAAGGAAGGGCCTAGAAAGATACAGGAGAACGTTCTGACCATGACAACATGGCTAAACCTTCAAAGGGCTTTTAAAGAAGTCTGGTTGATCCTTCCTCAAATAGTCTAAGACTGAACTTCTCATTTATGGACAGACACCGAGTGCATTAGCTCTATAATTTAATCCTCGGGACAAATCTTGATGTATAACTACTCCCATTTTACAGATACGAAAGGCAAGGCTCAGACACGTTAACTGATCTTTCACCAAGTTCCTGCTACTGTACTACATTCCCTCTCTGGAAAACAAAACAACTAGCAAACTATCTGAGGCAATTCGTAAGGTTGAGACAGAAAAGTAGATTACTTCACTATTAAGAGAACTTTTCATATTAGATTTCTGTTTATTAGCAAAGAAAAGGAAAACAATCACAAGTGCAAAATTACTTGAAACACATGGAGCAGCTTCTCTTTGCTTTCATTTCCTCCTCTCATCTTCTCATTGTGGGCCTGGCATAACCCTCCCACAGCCAGGAGAAAGCCAACAACTAGAGCAAGAGAGGGACCTTGGCGACAGTGCCTCATCTTCGAGACCTCTAGTTCTGTGATTCTGACACAGCAGTTGTTGCCTTTCCCTGAATCTTACCAGGAGCTAGCCCTTCTTTTCCTTAGCAGCTGACACAGGAGTTTGGAGACAGATGCACTGATGACATTATTTGCTCCAGGAGCCAGGCTGCCACAGTCTGATAAAGGCCACATGGACCATTTCTCAGTGCCCCTGCGTGAGCCCTTACGCTTAAGGGTCAGCTTGACCAGCTGACATGCCCTGGCATTTATACTGAGGCAGAGGCTAGGGCCACAGGCCGTGACGTGTGGGGCTACCTGCTAGCCAGCTAGCCTGGAGTGTGGTTCCTGAGAACAGCAGGTCCCAGCCTGCGAATCCAGTGTTCCAAGGGAAAGAAAACTGCCACCTCAGGGTTGGGAGCAGAAGATTTTAAGACGCGGAGTTAATAAATTGAGACTCCACAGACTTAAACTTCCCTGGAGAAACAGAACTTACGTTAAAGCACCCTTACTGATTCTGGCAAGGGGCAGTCCCCTTACGGGCAATAAAACATAAAAAGTATTCCTCATCTTTAAAAGCTGGAATGGAAAATAAAGGAGAGAGACTGAGCAGGATGCTTTGAGTTTCTCAGAAAGAATCTCGGATTTACAGGCAAAGCCTTATGTTATATAAATAGATTGCCCGTAAACGGGTCTGATGCAGTAAGCAAGGTGTAAGAGTTTATATACCCGTGCTGGTGTGTGTCTTTAGGACAGCACAGGCTCTGACTTCAGATAAGCCGAGTGAGGTCACAGCTGGTCAGCAGCAGCTCATGGATCTTTCTCGGGGGCTGAGAAAAATACAACCAGCAGTTAAAGTCATGTTTTCCATTAATAACAACAACAGAAAACCCACCAACAATGCAATTCCACATGTCTAGTTTCATACAAAACTTTCCACATGAAAGGCTTATTCTGGTAAGGGCACCATCAAATTTCGCTACAAAAAAGGTGCCTTTTCA